TTCCTCGCTACGTTTTTAAGTCTACTTTGAGTTCCTCGCTTCCACTGTTTTCCGCGATCCTGGCTGCATGGGGAGTGGCTATAGGGCGGCAACCCTTGCACTGTCCTGCGATTCTTTGGCCTCGAAAGACGTAAGAAGCACTAGCGGGAAGGTTCAATAATGGGGAAGGGGAAGCTGTGGAGGTTCAAGTTGCACATAGCCACTTTCTACTGCACTATTTAATTTTCTATTATGAAATCGCAAGGAATTGACCATTTGGTTCTGCACTCTTGACCGATTGGCAAATACGTTCGTAGGACTTGTTTCTACAAAGTTCTGCTGAGTTGATACAAGAAGACGCAAAATTGTGCGTGTGCATTTGGTGATATGTGCAACTAGTTGCTAGTGCTCGTAGTGTTTTGAAAGCGCGGCATCGCACACCCTAGTTGCCCATGTCCCTTCATGTCGGAGCCCCAAAAAGATAGGGCATAGGATGGCTGTTGCTATTAAGGGCAGCCTTCAATGCCTTTTTATAAAGCTTTTTTATGAGTATTGAGTGGAGTGATTCCCTACGGAGACCTTGAATCGAACCGCTCAGGCAAGTCACAGGATATGCAAAATGCTCCTGTATGTGAGATTAAAAAGGGAGAGCACGTGGAAAACGCGAATATCTTCAGACGGGATGGGGTGAAAGTCCTGGTTCAGGAATATCCCTTGCATCGTCCAGGGGCCATCAGTCTTACTACAAGAAACGGACACGAGGCGAAGAAACTGTCAGTCCTGCTCAGCCAGCAAGTCCCCACCCTTTCTAAGGCATAAACACCTGCACCTCAGATGCTATTAGTCCCTAGAGTTTGTCTGCAGTGTGTATACGCATATATCACTGCATAAGAACAGCAGTAGAACACTCCCAAAAAAGAGTCCTGCAGGCTTCTGTGTCTGCTGCCCACATACAGAGGCTTCGCCAAAGAGTCTTTAGCTCGAAAAATCGGTCTGCGCTGGTAAACTTGTTACTTACGGTTTTTTGACGCATTTGTGTTTCCTGAATGCACGTTCTGCGGCGGCAAACTAGTATGGTCGCAAGTAGGTCCAAACTGCACGTCTTATCCCGACTCATCTCTCGGCAGGAGTTCCGGCAGAAATGAAGCTGCTCTTTAGAATTTGCGGTATGCCTCTGCCAGGCACTATTTTGAGAAACAAAAGGAGGAACGATGCCTCTAAGGCCTGAGGCCCTCCCGATGGCGAGCAGTCGGCAGCCCCACGAAGTTCCCGCGCGGGGAGTTTTCCATAAAAGCACCACGCTGGGGGTTTCCACAATGTCTGCTTCTTTCGTGTTCTACTTCACATCGAGTAGCAGCATCCGCCGTCTCGGAGAGTATTCGAACAGCTTTGGGGGGAGAAAAGAGTGGTGGTGACCTACGGTTCCACGGCTCCTGTCGGGGCGTCTCCTAAAAGGGAGCTACGCAATGTCTCCCCAGAGATGTGAAATCCGGTTCCCATTTCTCAATTTGCACTAAAAGCTTTGTATTTCGGGGTCTCCACCCTTTTTATTCTCGCCGCGGCAGCGGAATCTCTCGCAGTTCTACTTCGGCAGCAAGCCATGAGAGACCTACTCGGTGCCGACCAGCCCAGGCGTCCCCAGTGGTGACATCGTTCTTGGAGATCAGCTATTTTATTATAAGACCATTAATGGGCGATTATCCCTATGGGGGCTTGCGGAAGACGATGGGGGAGGTGCCGCCCCCCGGGTCACCTTGGCGGTGTGCGAGGGCGAAGGCTGTGCTTGAGTTGCGCCGCTGCAGCCGCACTGCTGTCATGGCCGTGCGGAGCAAATAGCAGTATTTGGGACTGGCGTAGCCTAACTTCATCTATTGTGCCTTCCTGGGGGCAATCGGAACACACACCGGTCGACCAGACGGAGCCTCACGGCTTCCTCCAAGGGGCCCTTGAGTCGTTCGGTCACTTAAAGTCTGTATTTGGGCTTGAAAGCGCTGCCGATATGCTCGAGCTTGGGGTTGGTGCAAGCAGAGGTCATTCCGAACAAGAATACGGTAGCATGTCTGCTCTGCTGCAATACTATGGCGAAGATGCCACTTTGAGGCAACCATCAGAGACCAGCGAGCATTATCCCTTCTTCGCGACTCGCGCCCTTCAAGAAAGTTCAACTGCTGACGTGGAGGATGTTGCACTTACAAGACGGACCCGAGCATCGACGCAAAAAAGCTCAGCTTCAGTGGGCCCTACAAAAACCAGCTCAACAAAAACGAGTACCGCAACGACCAAGCCGCTTCCGCCACTCAGAGGCTGGAAGGAGGTTGAAGAGAGTCCTCTGGAAGCTATGAAGAAAGAGCCTGACCTTCAGTTGCTGAGTAAAGCAATGGAGAAGAATCCTCTGACTCAGGGGGACTCGCTGGTCACTCGTCTGGCATTAACTTTGTTTGCTCCAACGGACGCAGTACTCTCCGAGCTCAGCATAACGCTGGATGAGCTCTCGAATTTGGTAGGGTGATTACATGCTGCTCACTTGCCCTCTGACCGCACCGTAGTATAGCACTGGCCGTGTTGTGGAGTAACTATGTAGCTGCAGGCCACAGGAAGATCCAGTGTGCATGCGTGTGTGCCTCTAGACTTGGCTGCCCCGAAAAGCCTGGGTAGAGGAGATGATTGTGATGACGCACATCGTGGCCCCTAAACTTATTGACCCTCGTGAAATCACAACAGAGGCGTCTGTGTTTCAAACACGCAGTGAGCAAGAGCTCAAAATATATCGCTCAGGACCACCGGATCCAAAAGTGAAGGGCCCCGATGATAATGATGCACCTGAAGCCGAGGAAAAGAGTGATGCACCGGCTGCTGCTGCCCGACCAGAGCGTCGTAGGCGTCGTGATGCGTCGTCTCCAGGTGCTGACGACACAGACAGTGCAGCAAGGAGGGACCAGCAAGGCCAGCCTCACAGACGTGCAAGGGATCGTGCAGCAGGAGACGCAGACGAACCTGACGATGGCGAGGAACCCTCAGAGTCAGAATTGAGAGAAGCAACTGGCAGAAGCAGGCGCAGCAGGGAGGAAGGGCAGCGTTCACGTAGGAGAGATAGAGATGAGGGGCAGCGTTCACGTAGGGAAGATAGAGATGGAAGCACGGAGGACGCTTCAGACGATGACGACGAACCCGAAGACGCCCAGCCCGCAGAAGGAAGGCGGTCAAGGACCTCTACAGCAGGCGGTTCGCCCAGACGTCCAAAGGAGCGAGAAGAGGACGAGGACAATGAAGACGAGTCCGAGAATGCAGAAAGCGAAGAGGCAGAAAGGAATGCCGAAAGGAGAAAGAGACCCGGCTCCTCAGCTATGGGCAGAGAGAACGACCACGACCTTGCTCATGTAGAAGACGAAGAAAGCCTAGACGAAGCTTCTTCTAGCAGAGAACAAGATATCGGCAGGCGGCGACGAGGTCGATCCCCCCGCACGCCAACAGACGAGCAAACGGAAGCTTCAACAGTTGAGCGGGAACGCGGTGCGGAACCTCATCGCTCAGGAAGGCAGCAGAGCCGCAATGCGCGGTCTCCTGCGGCAGAAGAGAGACGGAGAAGCCACGATGGCGAGGAAGACAACGAGTCTGACGGCGAAGAAGAAGAGCATGACGCAGAAGGTGAGGACGGCACTGATGAAACAAGAGAGGATACTCCACCCGCTGTGCGTACCACAAGGAACAGACAGAGGGTGAGGCAAACACCCAGCAGCTCAAGCTCTCAGGCGCAACTAGCTGAAGAGACGGATTATGAGGAAGATGTGGAGCCTGAGGATGACGAAGATGATGACGCCGCTGAATCATCCACTCGGCAGCAGCCAAGAGTAGCTACAACATCACGAATGCCTTCCAGGTCAGCCAGCAGCACTCGGACCACCACGACGGCGACTCGCTCACCAGTGGCAACTTACAGGACAGGGCGAACAAGGCATGCAGCACCCCTAGGAACCTCTGGAGGGCTTTTCCACCGATCGGAGCAAGGTAGCGGACGGACCAATAATGATAACGACGTTGCAGCAAACGAAGCTCGTAACGATGCGGAAGATTCGCCTGATCCACAGGAATCCGTTCCAAGAACACTTCCCCTGTTTACCCGCAGTAGTGCAGCAGCGGTCGTAGGAAGCGGTTCGCCCCCAAGTAGTGTTCAACGTAAAAGGATTCGGGGTGGATCATGGCTCAACTCTCCCCCAGCGGATCCTGAGGCGCAAGGCAACCATGAACCAAGCACGGCACCAAGCAGCATCCAGCCACTGCCGGATAGATCAAACGCTCGGCCACACGCCCAGCCTATTCTGCGTCAGGGTAGACTGCCATCCGGTGGTCTCCAAGAGCCTTCGATGGAAAGAAGTGGGGCCCTTGCAGGCCAGGACGGCACATTGAATGACACAGAGAGTGCGATCTCCAGAAGGGCACTACTGAACAGCGACTATATTCTTCCACGGAGATTGGGCGCCGCAAGTTACACGACCGCATCCACCCCTAGCACTACCCTCTCATCCAGTAGCGTTCCAAGCTCCCGTCGTACTTTCGAAGCATCCTCTAAAGCACATCAGGAACTTTCCGGCTCCATGCAATCAGTCCAGAATCTCGAGGCTCGTCCGAGGGCCTTTAACCATACAGCTGTTGCCCCGACGACTGCCTTGGATCCACGTGCTGCTCAAACCAAAAGTGTTTCATCGCTAACAGCTGCTTCGCGCCTTCCCGATGCACAAATCACAGAGCAGAATGGTGCAGTGCCAGAGGATGAGCGCTCGCACCTTGCTGAAACTAACACGGCTACCATGATTGCTGGTAGCGTTGGCCAAGCAGGAGGAGCTGGAAACAATGCCATGGACAGCAACCCACCACATGCAACTACGAAACCGGGGGACGCCTCGCCCAGTACACTATCAGGTAGACTCAATGAAAGCACGGAAATTCGTAGAGAGCAAACAAGGGGTTCGTCTGTGCAAGTCGACCAATGGAGCAGTGCTGCGAGGACAGAGGCAGTCCAAAGCCGAGACTACACACACCCAAACACGGCCAGGAGCCTGCCCACGACAGAGCCAGGGATTGAAACGAGAGCTGCTACTCCGAGGCCAACCAACGCGAGACACAGGGAAGGAGAGCTCACTAACGAGAGAAGAACGGTACAAACACATGACAGCCGATATAGTGTGGACACAGACGTCCAGAGTTTGGATATGACGGGTACCCAAACAAACCCACCTACTGGTGCACCTTCGAATAACACAACATCGCTACCCCCTTCTGACCACCCGCACACCTCCACCACTAGCCGCGTCCTCTCTCAAGACAGCACAGAGAGGCGCGCAGCTGCCGAGCCACCATTCACAACGACTGCGCAGCCACTGAGGCCCAGGCAACCTGACCAAGGCTCTCCCTCTAGTAGGCCCTCAAGCACACACACCACACTCACTACTCAGCGACCTAGGCGCACATCTGCCGGGGACGATGAGGATGCTGAGGCGGATGAGGAAGACGAAGATGGTAGCGAAGGCACACGCACCTCGTCGAGCCGCTCACGTAGGTCGACGCGCAGTGGTGAGGGATCCTCCTCTACGAGGCCTTCAAGGAGAGACACCACACTCACCACTCAGCGACCTAGGCGCACATCTGCCGGGGACGATGAGGATGCTGAGGCGGATGAGGAAGACGAAGATGGTAGCGAAGGCACACGCACCTCGTCGAGCCGCTCACGTAGGTCGACGCGCAGTGGTG